ATAATGACAATAACATAAAAATTCTGATCAATAAACTTCTGTCACCTCATTTTGTGGTGGATCGGAGGGCAGACAGGGAGGGTGAAAGACAGAGAATTACCATACTTTCTGGGATCCATCTATTTCTCCTAACACCCTTGGCAGATCAGCTTTAAGCTTGGACTGTGTCTCATCCTCCTCCCCCTAACTCTTGACATTATCTAAGCTCTTCAGAATTTCGCTTTAATATCAGTGAAGATTATGGAAAGAAACTCAAAATGGCTAAAGTTGAGTTTGGGGTGCTCATAAGAATCAAGTTTCAAAACAAATTATGTCCATGTTCAGAAAAATAAGAAAACTATTTTTCACAGTTTATAACAAAATATTCGTAGCTGTCATTCTGCCACGCATCCCCCAACCCAGCTGAGAAATTGGGTTTTCTGGGCCTACAGTGGCACCAAACTATTGGGATGGAGTAGTGAACTTGGTGGGTTCTGATGATCAGAGCAAACACCCCTCCTTCCTATCAGTGGTAGTCAGTTTTGATCACTGAGACAAAATATCTGAGATAATCAGTTTAATAAAAGGGAAAAGACTTATTTTGGCTCACAGTTGTAGAGCTTTTATTTCATAGTCAATTGGCCCTCCTGAGCTGAGCTTGTGGAGGTGCAGTATCTCATGGTGGGAGCACATGGTGGTCTCATTATAGCAATGGGGAAGGAGAGGGAGAGAGGAATGGGCTCAGTTCTAATACTCTCACCAAAGGCATGTCCCAAGGAGCTAACTTCGTTCCACTAAATGTGGCCCCTGAAAGAAGTTCTACCATTTCTTCACGGTGCCATGCAACTGGAACCAAGACTTCAAAACAGGGGTTTTTGGAGGACAGTCATTATCCAAATTATAACAAGATCATCTCCTTCATCACAGAATGTGAACTGTTTAAGGAGAGACAGGAGGTCCTGGTTCCTTACCCCTGTTTCCTATTATAGGGCATAGTTATCTATGGGGCCCATTACAGTTGATGTTTCAAATATCAGTATTGTTAAGATTATTCTTATGTAAGTGATTAGAGACTTTGCAGTCTTGGGTGGAATTTCTTGGGGATGGTTTTTCTTAACAACACTATTCCAAGTTTATAGCAAGAATGAGTTGGATAATTGGGCTTAACAGACAGAATTTTTCTTTTCAGACTTTTTCCCCCTACAAAATCTTTGGACTGATCTCAAGGAGAGATCTATAGCCTACAGCCAGCATCATCATCTGAATTTGTGCAAAGGAAAAAATATCCTTTTTCTCCCAATAAATATTTGCTCAAGTGGGTGTGATTGAAAATGCATGCAAAGGAGGAAATGGGGGTTCTATGGCAGGACTGCAGAGCATGCATTGAAAAGAGTGTGTTTAATTAGAATTCTTGTGCTGGGGACCTACATGGAAATGATTCTTTTTTGTTCATGAAATGGAAATGATATAGCCTACTGTATAGAGATTTTGTGAAATTTATATTAAGCAATGTGTATAATAGTTATTTCTAAAGTGCTATATAAAAGTAAGTTATTATTATCAGGCACCTAAGCAAAGTTAAAAGCTTTAATAAAACCTATCCTTTACCTACCACACAGAATTTTTAAACCAATGTGCAAACAAGACATGTTCACCTTTAAAAGTTAAGTTTTGAGACTAAATGGCTCAGGAAACAATAAAGATGATCTAATATGTCAAGGGAGGCATTAAAAAAAGGAATAAGTATATTAGAGAGAGAAGTATGAGACAATCTACTTCCTTTAAAGAGCCATATCTATTCATAGCATATTTGGAAAAGTATTGGATTTGGGAATATGAAACCTAGAAAAGTGCTCTAAAGAATCAGGATGTCTTTCAGCACAAAAGGTTTTGTCAGATAAACTGATTAACAATGGAATATTAGCCCAGTGTGGCTGGGGTATGCTTGTAATCCCAGCATTCTGGGAGACTGAGGCAGGAAGGTCACAAGCTTGATCATAGCCTGAGCAATTTAGTGACCTAACAAGACCCTGTTTTTTAATTTTAAGAAAAGAAAAATAAACACTAAAAACAATGATATAAAATTTCAAAACAAGATTATAGGAAAGTAACAGTGGTTAGTACATTGTGTATTGTTATCTTCAAAGTAGTTGCTCATATTACAAGATACAGGCATGAAAAACTGATCAAACAATATAGGTATAAACCTTTCCTTTCAATGAGCTAGTAACAGTTAGTAGTATAACTATCTTAACCATCTTGTATATATATATATATATATTTTTTTTTTCTTTTCCCTTCCTTTTCTCCAAAGACCCTGTTTTAAAATAGATAATAAATAATAATTTAAAGAATGCTGGGGAAAAAAAAGTGCTGGGGATGTAGTTCAGTGTGAAGGCCCAGGGTCCAATCCCCAGTACCTAAAAGAAAAAAAAAAGACATTCAATCATGGCAACACCTGATGGAAGGGGAAGGGTCTGTTGAAAACAGATCATGTATTTTTGTTTATTTGTGTAGCTCTATCACAGCAGTCTGTGCCTCCAGAGTAGGTTTTTACATGTGTTTTACTGAATGAATGAAAAATTCCAGAAATGTTACTGAGGGGAGACACTTCAACCATACTAAACTTAATATCTGAATTAGACAAACAAAGAGATATATGCTTGTTGATTTAGATTTATAAAATAAAGATTGAGCTAATTAAAACAGCAAGCTAAGCCCTTTGGCTTCATTAATTATTGCAAACTTTTTACAATCTCTAGGTCATAGGGCTTTTCCCAAAGGTCAGTTATAAGTAGTCAATAAAACTTAAAATGAAAGAAAGCAAATTTTTGGTTTGAGAACTCCATCTTTTAGGTTTAAGATGGCACATAAATTAAAATTACTTTATTGCTGCTGGCTGTTTAGGGTATTCTAAGGTTATGTGTAGGTGATTCATAAAAGAGTGCAGCAATTGATTAGCAATGTCTGTCATGGGTAGTGCAGTCAGAGTTGGTGGAGATGCATTGATTAAAAGGATTAACTTGAAAACAAGATTGAATTTTTAAAGACTTCCCACTTTCTCCTCTGATAACCCTCATGATTGTTATGAGCTGTGGTTTATTATGATGACTGAAATGTGGGAGAATTTATAAAAGATATTTCAAGGTTAACAGAGGCTCTAGTACTCAGCAGATATAGAATTTCCAGTTGATCCACTTCCCAATTAGTTTGGGGCCATGTGACAGTTTTCCCTGCCATGGTTTCCTTGGAGGCTGTGTGTTTCTCACGGCATCTCTACAGGAGGGAGAAAGGGCTACAGCCATCCTAAACTTCCTGAGAATAAGAAATCAACTTGATGGATATTTTGGAGTTTTGTCTCTAGTGACTGCCAGGGTTAATTACTCTACTGCATACTAATAAGTACAAGTAGAAGTGGCTTGTTATGGAGTTTGGAAAGGGCTTACTCTATTTAAACATTTGCCGGGATTCTGCTTTCTGAACTGGGTCCTTGAAAAGTAACATTACACCTTCAGCCTATGTTGCCATTAGGTTAGGGAAGTTTCCTAGACTCCTCCAGACTGCTGGCTCTATCTATGCCTTAGCGTGCCACAGCTCTGAGGGTGCTACAGAGTTGGAGCGCCATGGAATAGAGATGAGGATTTAGCTCTGCTTTACATTCTAGTGTACAATATACACATCCTTTAAAAAGTCTATTTCTAATAATCATTCTCTAATGTGGGCTTCCTTTCTACATTAACTCTAAACCGAAGACAACAAAACTGCAAAACAAATCACCTTGTGCAGCAAGTCTGGCTTCTGAGGCCATGTGACTTTCACAAGCTTGGTTTCCTTGAGAGGCCTCAGCTGAGACCAGTTGCATTGCTTTAACTTCCCTCTCTTTCCTCATTTTTTAAAAATATTCTTTTTTTTCTTTAACACAATTTAGCAATTCCTGAGCCTCTCCCATATTCTCATCTGGTCAGAAACAATTTCTTTTTGTTCTTTCTTTTCTAGAGACAGGGTCGCATTGTGTAGTCCAGGCTGGTCTTGAACTCACTATGTAGCCCAGGCTGCCTTTTTTTTTTTTTTTTTTTTGGTACCAGGAATTAAACTCATGACCTTACTTTTGCCAGGCAGGTGCTGTGCTGCTGAGCTACATCCCTGGCCCAGCCCAGGCTGTCTTAAACTCATGTGATCCTCCTACCTCAGCCTCCTAGTCCTACCTAGGATTACAGGACTATGCCACTGTGCATGGCAAAAGTTTCTTTTTCTGATGAACACCTTCCTTGGTATCTCTCTTCAAATATCTCCACAGCATCTTCTAACATGTACTGTAGTTAAGTGCTCATGTCTTCCTCCTGGACCATGCCCTTCCAGGTGTCGGGGGGGGGGTGTGTGTGGAATACCAATATACCAGGTACAGCTAATACATGCAGAACAAATGGCTGAATAAATGATAATCTCCTTTCAAAGTTAGGAACTCTCCCATTTAAAAATTATGAAATGGCCTCTAGAAATAGGAGGCATCTTAAAAAACAACAAACATGTAAAGTATTATAGTTCTAAATGTGTTAAAGCCTTTTATTGACTCAAAGTATCATACCATTGGAAGAATTTATTCTTAGTTTCCTCTGATCTGGCTCTTGCTTTTCTTTCTTCAAACTAGAAATCCACAGACAATTGTTTTTATAGCAGCAAAATGAAGGATGGAGATTTGGGAGAAGCAAAAATATAGAACTGTCTCCTTTTTTTATCTAAAGTAATTACCATGAGGATAAACAGCTTCCTTCTTAATACAGCAATAGCATAAATAACACTAGAGTTCTTCATGTCCCAGCAGTATGAAGTGTGTAGGAAAGTATTAATGTTATATATTGCTGTTTGAGAGAAACGATTATTTACAGGTTAATTATTGTATAATAAGTTAGTTTTAGTTTCTGCGAGGTTAAAGTAGCAGATTCAGAAAGATAAAGTATGTCAGCACGTGCATTAAAAATCTGTATTACAAACAATTGTCTGAGAGAATTGAAAAAAACAAGTTAGAAAAAAACCCAGTTTATTAAGTAATATCATATAAATAACGTTACAAAAATCAGTTTGCAAAAGGCATATTTACTCTTTGTGAGAAATCATTTTTTAAATTGCATTCTTTTCAAATTTATAAGTCTGAGAAAACAAAACAAAATAAACTAAGCCATTTCAAGGAGTGCATATTTGCCACTTGACTACAACAAAAAGGCCTGGCCACACTGAGCTACAAGGTAATTGTTTCAATCTCATTCTTCTAATACAGAAAACTTTCCCAGGTAAACTGCGAAGTTATGAAAATCTCCATAACTAGAAATGTGGATGGCAACTGAGCGGGCATTTTTTCCCTCAGGTATTCTTGTTGCTGAGGACGTGAATGATACCGTGAAAAACAACATGAACGGAGCACTCCAACTAGTAAATCTTCAAGGGTGGCAACAGTTTCAATTTATACTTGGAAGTATTTTTAATTAAATACAATCAATACCAAAAAGCTTTTATTTTCTTGGTTTAAAGTCACAAATCACAGTAGGAGAATGCCAAATTGCCTTAGCTTGGTATTACTAAAGACTCACATAGCATTTATTATAAGGCCTATGTTGATGTAGTTTACTCTCAAAGCTATGAAATAATCACCAACGAAACAGTACAGTGGGTTTGAAGTGTTCTTGTGTTTCTTCTGAGCAGATCCATTTTACATTTGCTACACAGCATTCCCCCTGAATGCCTAGTAATTCTATACATTTGATTCTTTAATAAACACTAAACTAATAGATCATAGAAAACTAAAAGCTTGTAGAAGGTGCCTCCAGATATATTTACATAAATAGGCTAGTCTCACAAGAAAGACCAAGATCTCATTATAGTGGAATGCTTTCTCTGCAGTGCTGGGTCCATGCCTCATTTGTCAAATTAACCCCATTTGAGGAGAAATTTGAGTTTGTGGTCCATGGGTTTTTAAAAAAAATGGAATTAAGCAACTTGTAAAAGCTCTTTTGAAATTAATCTAATAACCCAGTGGCTCTTCGGCTAAGTGCCTCCATCCTGTCTGAAATATAGTGGGTAATAGCCTTTGTTTCCATTTGACCTCCTTTCTGCACTTTCATCTGCTGGCTCTGTTGGGCTAATGTTTCCCCCAAATTAAAAAATGAAAATGCATCATAAATAAGGTATCACAAAATAAGGAGTAGATTACAGATTGTCTCAGCAATGCTTAAATTAAATCGATGATGCAGAGACCATAAACTTCTAGCTTTAAAAATGAGCTATTTCTTTATTAACAAGTGTGTGAGTCAGTGTACTCGCTTTCTCAGACGGTATTGCGCTCTGCATTCATTGTGGTCGGGGTCTGGTATTTTTAGTACAGAATTATCCCTTTAGAAAATTATTCCATAAAGATGCCAAAGAGAGCTTAAAAATGCTGCAAGTGTAATAGTCACTGAACTTTTGAGGAGACCGTAGTGTAATTCTGTATTCTGTAGAAAAGAAAGCTGTTCGTCAAAGCTTAGGAAACAGTTCATCTTCCTCAAGATCCACATGCCAGGCGTTAATCTTTCTACTCTCACAACCTTATGAGGAAGGTTAGGTTGCAGTGCTAATTTAAACACAGCAGACTGCTTGGATTTTGAGTCCCTTGTCACAATGTCACATTTCAAAAAAGATTTCATCTAGATAAAACATAAAAATTAAAATCACACTAAAATGATCCTTTTCAGAGGATGTCTTTCAAAAATAGTGGGGATCATGACTTTTTAGACAGTTCTTCCAAAGTAATTACATCACTTCAAAACTAGAGACAAGGATAAAAGAGCTTATTTGGTGAATCAGTTCCTAGGGAAAATGAATTTAGTTGATAAAGATAAGTACCTGATTTAAAAATTCAGTCTCTGCCCAGGAACCGACTTCATTCTTTCCTTTCAGCTGCATATTTTTATGTGTTAAAAAGTATGGAATCTCAGAATGTCCAACTGGTAGGCTGTATATCATTATCCAGAGGAAATATCCATTTCAGGGCAAAACATTTGATGTAAGATATTGTTCAACAATTCAGGACATCTAAAATTTATGTACTTAGAAGAAAGGTAATAGAAACATTACAAAGTTATTTTAGATCCTTAAAATTTGAATGCTTCTAAGATATGGATTCAATTTTTAAGAACTTCTTGCACAACTTTTTAAGAGCTGACAAGAAAACTAAGCCACATATTTTTATACTGAGTTAAATTGAATCACCAGCTTTGTTCCATCTAAAAATGGAGTAATTTTGTAGCTGAACCTTCCTTTATACACCCAGACTATAAAACCAGGGACGTTCCAAGAGAAATATATATTTACTGTGCCCAGACTTCCCTTAGGATTTTATGAAACTGTCTTTATTTCTTTCTTATTTGATTTATTTACTTATTTGGAGACACATATGTTCAGCAGAAAGTGGGCACTGAATGAAGGGGTTTTTTACTTAGGTGCCGTGTTTTTAAAGTCATAGCTTATTCTAGGGTATATCTTTGTGGTTTAATGAAATAGTTTCCCTTGAATAGAGAGCAAAAAAGTCAAAAAGCCTTCATTATCTTTGAAATGATTCTGTATGCAAAAGAAACCTACTTTGATTTAATAAATTTTTCATTTCTGTGATTAAAAACAGATATTAAAAATTTTACTTCTTCCCCCTCTCCTTCAATCTTCTCATTGTCACTATCTAAAATCAAGACACAGACGTGAAAATTGAACTTAAAACTAACTTTTGAATGTTGACCCAGGACCTAGAACTTTAGAAAATCTGCACATGGAGTAGTGTTAAAGCTGATTTCTGGTGGAAAGGAAGTGAGGATGGGCGGGGGAATGATGGATCTATTGTTTTTAATATTTGCATGATGTCATGGAGTCTTATAGAAAAAAGTCCCACCAACCTGGTTCTTAAAAGAACAGTACTAAATATTCAGCTCTAGGCTCAGAGTACCTAATTTTCTCTAGATTTATTTTATCATAGCTTTTGTCCCAAGAAGTTAACCAAATATTCAATAGTTATATCAAACTGTTCTTGACACAATATGCCATGTTCAGGGTGGGATAAAATATCCTGCCACGCATATCTCAAACATTTCACTGTAGAACTACTTACTTTCACGTAGAAGGAAAAAGTCAACTTTACCCTGAAACATTGGAAATTTCTTGTGTCAACTCTCAGAAATTCCACTTACCACCAAAAGTTCATAAGTACAACTTTTGATAATACTTGTCTTTTGATGGGACTATCTTTCTTGGCTCAACTTTTTACCTGAAATGATACATAAAGATAGAGCACCCTTTAATTTCACCATAAATTTTGTGGTTAAGGTGCTGTTCTATTGCTATAGGTATCTAGTTCTTATTAATTTTACTAAGCTATCTTTTTAAATATATACTTGTGACTATAATACATACTGACTCATTGCTGTGAAGCCCTCTTATAACATTTTGTTGCATTCCTCTGTGTGTCTTTGTGTGTGTGTGTGTGAGTGTGTGTGTATGTGTCTGAAGAGCTAGGAAAAGAAAACCTTAAAAGTTGAAAATAGCCCAAGCATGAAGCATAAAATACGTATTAGTGTACAGGACAGTCCATTACAATATAGGAAATCATTCAGGGGACAGAAAGAACAATAAAGTTGTAAAAATTTTCACTCTAACTCAAATTCCACATTTCTCTTGTTTTAAAGGTGCTACCTTTATGTCCTGTGTAATATGCCCATTTCAAACTTAACTAAACAACAATGTGCTTCCAAACAGAAAAATATGTGCTGAGATGACATTATCCCCAAATGGAAATGACACTAGTTGACCGCTAGAAAATAAACATTGATTGAAAATAAATCCCTAAGATTAATAAGTGAAGTCAACATATTCTTAAGTGTATATTATATATGTACATAGAGCCTATTTTTAAAGTTTCCAAATGAGATTGTTTCCATTACAGTACTTTGGAAATTTCTGGTGACTGCACAATGTAAGATTCTAATGATAAAAGTCATTAGAACAGCCATACGTAGTAAATGATTTGAACCTGCCAGAAGGATTAGTTCAGTTCACTTGGGTCCCCTGGATAATAACTGCCTACAATGCTAATTGCATAATTAGAGAAATAATGGATTGGATGGATTTTACATTACTTTTTGTCATAGTCTGAGACTATTACTTATCATTAGTTCAAAGACAAGGATGGTAGGCTTGCCATCCTTTTGCCATGGAAGCAAAGTTATACATAATGAAAAATATTGATACTTTTTGAGGTCAACTATCATTTTAATTACAATCTTAAACACTCACGTTGAAGGAAATCCAAGTTGTACCTTTGTATCCATCTTCCAATCATGGAATATGTAGATTTCTACTGTAATTTCACTGTTCATCTAGATCTGTTTGTTGTATATGTATACAGGTGTTCTGGATGTGAGGGGCACAGGGTTAGGTTCAAAGGTGGCTGGCACTACACTCTTCCTTAAACTCCAAGAGTAGAATTTGAACTGTAGTTAATCTATCTTTACTAAGTCAAGTTAATTGTATAAGAAGTTTCTGAGGAATAAGAATTATTGTAGTTCACTCTGCTACTTCCAGGTACAGTAGGATAATACTGACAACTACATACAAGGAATTAACATTTGTCCCAGAAAAAATCTTGCGAGAACCTTTAAACAATTAAATTATTGGTCATTAGCCTACTGATAGTTGAAAGAATTTCAAAAGGTCTGTGATACAGTTGGAGGCCAAAACTTCACAATATGCTAAGTATTTCCTTTGTTTGTACTATTAACCATTGTCTATTTCCCTTTATACGGTGCAAAGGCAAACTTTTACATGCCCTATGTGTAACACATTTTGTTATTGGCGAGGAATGATGTCTCAAGTCTTTTGTTATTATTATCTGTGAATGTTTCCATGTAATATGCTTCTATTCCTTAAGAGAAAAAGAATATGAAAGCATTTGTGTATTTGCTGTTTTGAGTAGCTGCTGCGAGAAAAAGTCTTCAGAGCACAAACAAGACTGGCTGAATGTCATTTTAAATTTTTGTGACAGACATACACACCCTTACAACTTATGTGGTTTATGATCTTCTCCTTGTGAAACAACTTCCCAGTTGTTTATTTTTTTTTTTTTAACTAAAGCTGTACCTTTGTCATTAAAGCACAATCCTTTATCTCATCAGCATGTGAAATGTACAGTTAGGGCAGGCTGCTGACCTGAGGCCATAGAGTGTCATAATATGCCAGGCCAGCTGTAACCAGCAAGTTCCAAACCCTCCCTCAGAGAAAAAGTGAACATACAGCTCCCTGTCTGCTCCTCCAGCACCTGCCTACTGGGCTGACTTGGTTAACTGGGCACACTCAAAAATAAAAATTTGCCTCTTAGAAGCTCATAAAAGTGTACTAGAAAAAAGTCTCTAACATTGGATCCACATGGACTGCAGCCATTGGCTTTTGGAACGGGTACAACAGAGAACCCTTTACAGAATAGTGGATAAATAGAAAGAAATAGCCACTTCACGTGTTTCAGTGTCATACTGGGAAATGAAAAAGGCAACCGATTAGGAGTCTTTGTCGCTGTCCACCCCTCCGTACATATCTGCCAGCTTTTTGAATCGAGGGCCCCAGTCACTAAGGTAATCATAGTCTTGATCACCATCCGTGGTCACAGACTCTAGAGAGCTCAGGGAATCGGCCACCGAACCGGTGCCTTCATAGGCATATGTGGCCAAGGAGTCGTACGGCGGGGCAGTGGGGTCCGTGTCATTTTCCTTTAACCTTTGGTTAATGAAATCTCTGACATCGGTGTTGTCGCGAGCTGTTGGAGTCCGTCGGGGTAGAAAAAGAGCTTCAGGTACAATGTCCCTGCGTAATTTGTTGTCCTCTATGGCTTCAGGATTCCTCAGAGTGCCAATATCAAAGGCCTGGGTGTCTTCCTCTCCACCACCTTCGTCGTTGTAACTGACAATGTTATCTCTGATGTCCTCTTTGGAAATGATCAAGGGCTCTTTCTTTCGCTGCCGCCTCAGAGCTGCAAACAGCACCACTGTCACTAGAAGCAGACAACAAAATAGAAAGAAAAAGGACAGTTAATTTGCTGCCCAATTAATGCTGGGAAGAAATACCATACTCCAATGTGAAGTTTTGAAAGTGCTTGAGGAAATGCACAGTTAACTTCTTACTTCTGTAAGGATGCATTTACCTCTATCCATTTTCAAACCAGGATCCAAACAATGGAGTAAATATTTGAAAGAAAGTTATAATTTAAATATATATACTTAAGGATAAACACCATCATATTTTGTCAGTAGGTTTTTTTTTTTTTTTTTTTTTTTTGGCTTTGAAATGGCATACTAGTCTCACGGGAAGGAAACCTAAAATAATAAAAAGCTCAGCCACTGAGAAAATACCGCACTAAGAGTGCAAATTATGCCAAACACCTAAAATGCTCCAAAACTGGTTATCAGGACAAGGCTGGCACCTTGGGGATGTGTGGAAGGGTTTGCATAACTCCACATCTAAAATAACTTTTGCACTATGCATTATTTTTTCTTTTTCTTGAAAAGGTGTAAAATTCATTTAAAACCCAAAGTAGAGATGTGAATGTTTGCATACAAAATTCTTCTCCACATAAGAAATATCATTACAGATAATACCTTCAGAGGCTGAGATTCAGAGCCAAGACCAGCCAATTTAAATGGGGGCATCTAATAGTACACATTCCATATTATTCTGCCTGAACTAAATAAAACAAGCACATCTAAATGAAAATTCTTTATTTTTCAAAGGTGCTTATTCTCTAGTGTGATACCCAGAATGTCTGCTTTTTTCCTTCTATCCCAAATTAGAGGCAAAGCAAGAATTGAGTTTAAATAGCTCCTGATCTTTCTTCACAGCTGGCTGAGTAGAACAAAGTTGGCTACCTGTAGAGAGACACATCTATCTACAAATGGACCTATGGGTGGGAAATAAACATATAGCAGCAGCTTACAGGCAAAACAGCCATCCTAGGTAGAAAACACATTATTAAGCTAGGTTTCTCCAGAGGAGTTTATTACTGGACATACCAATAATGTCTCTTTACTATCTTTCCTATAACATAGCTCAGTTCTATAAGCCATGAAAATTGAAATTTTGTAGCAAGATTAATAGAACAATGGCTTTTTAGTGGGTAAGTACATCCATCTGTATAATAATGGATGCCTGGGTGCCCACATGTCTATACCTTATAATTTTTGACATTAATAGTATTAATAACTACTTATATGTTGGAAGCTTTCTTTGTACCAGTGACTGTGCTAGATGCCTTCCAAACTGAATCTCAATGAATTATCACAATAGCCCTATGAAGAAAGTATCATTATTGTAACCCCATTTTACATAAAAGAAAGTTAAGGCATAGAAATGTCACATGGAAAAGCCATTCAATTCCAGATTCATAAGACTAAGAAGCCCCCATTCTTAACTGTCATACTTGAAAAGTATCTAGGTTACTGTCTATTGTCAAAAGAAATATAATTTTGCCACTTCAAGCACATGGCTGTGCCTGTTCACACTCTTTGCTGCTGCCAGAGCGCATCCTGATGCCTCATTTGTCACCAAATCCAGGGTATCTGTCCATCCTTTCAATAAGTATTTATGGGGGGCTGGGGATTTAGCTCAGCGGCAAAAGCGCCTGCCTGGCAAGCGCAAGGTCGTGAGTTCGGTTCCCGGTACCGGAGAAAAACCAAAAAAA